TTACTGAGAAGGACCGAAATTTTCGGAAAAACTTAGATTTCTAACTCAGAACTAAATATTATTCAAATGTATTATACATCAAAAGATAGAGCGTCGAAAACTGCATAAGATGATGTATTTGAAATTTGATTATGATCGAATTTTGAGGGACGTTTCTTCAAAGGAAATGTTTTGGAAAACACGGTTTATTATCCGATTTTTGACGTTTTAACACGTCACCCGTCCCGAAAGGGTTAAGTCTTGGAATCGGATAGCGAAGACCGCGAGTCTCCATCTACTTTCAATTAACAGCTATTCAAAGAACGGCCACTGCTCTTGTATTTTGGTTTCGATAATAGTTTCAGAAACTAAGAGAACAAGCTACAATGTTTTTTCAATGAAAGTGTTCAACGGACAATAAGAATACAATCCTACCTGACTTTGTGCTTTAATAACCGTCGGCTTGATTTACTGTTGTTAACGCCACTGACATATATTTACTGTAGGTGTATTGATCTTATAAAACTATTTACTGCTGTTTTGTATTATTTATGTACATTGTTCTGTGATTATGTTCTACTTAAATAGGTTTTGTTATTGAAGTATATTCGTAATTTGTTAGAATTTAATTAGTTTTTAACTGTAGAATAATAAAAGGATTTCTTTGTTTCTATAAGTGGGAACTTCCCAACATTGTATCTGACATTAAGATTGTTTCTTGCTCTTTTTTCCGTTTATTTACTTTCCTTTATACGTATGTTAATGGTTATACCTTTTTAAATATAAATATAAATTTTTATGGATTAAGAATTCTTCATAAGGAGGAGAGAAGTATAAAATATTTTCATGACTGACAAAACATTAAAATAAATAGAAGGAAGGATGTATATTTCAGATGACCGACACAGAATTCAGTTATCATGAGTGGATCATTGCAGAGAGCGACAATTCCAACTTCACTACTGATAATGTTGGCCTACTTTATTATGAATAGATGATAAGATAGTGTTTGAGCTTTGATTATTAGGTACCACTCAGCATCATCTTACACAAGATAATTACTTTAATTCGTACAACACGTGTTTTACCAAAAATAAATGACATCACGTATAAAAAGAGAAATGTTAAAAAGTAGAATGTTAGTTTTTGCTTTTCGTTTGATCCTTTATAATATCTGGTTGATAATCTGGTTTAATCGCTTTTGTTAAACTATCCGCATACAAATCCAAACGCTGCGTCATCTAAAATTTTGTAAATTATATATCATTGTCATTTTTACAGAATATATACTACACATACTCGAAAACCCCATTTATCTTTTACTTGTCGACATAAATTTAAATCACATTCAACAACCAGCAAACCATCGCGTATTCGTGATAAGCCCTATTAATAAGAGAAGAATATTTAAAATCAAGAGAATAGATATCGAAAGAATTTATACACTCACAGGTGTCCGACTGCCGTCTGGGCTAGCTACATAACTGCTTCCTATATTATAAAGGATACTACATTAAAAACAATATACACTAAAAATGAATGTATTACCATAAAAGTGACCAAAGTCTTTGTGCGCTGGTTCTAAACGTAGGAGTTGCCAGTGTTGGAATAGAAAGTTATGTGAATGGAATAATATCCATACTTACTTCCATCACCACTTGTAAATTCATTCGGAAATGTTTCTGTACCAACACGGTTAATCGCAACAGCAAAATAGGAATTTGCAATGGCAGCATTTCTAAAAGTTTAGGGAAATATGTCTCACTTGAGTGAGAAGTAATGGCATCGATTTTCACCTTGCTTCGATCGGCCACATTGGTTCCGATAATGCACCCACTGTTGCACTTGGATTGAAGACGATCTAATAAAAATAGAAAATCAAACTCTTTTTAACATAATAATAAGAATTCTACCTCCGCTCCATTAACACCATACATCATCCAATTCTGTGGGTGATGTCTTCCGTAACAAATGTTGACGGCAATTTTACCTAATCAAAACATCAATAACATTGGTGTAATAAGAGTTTAAAAGTTCACAATATTTACCAAAATCAGTTTCAAAAACACGATGTCCCGTATTGCCTTCTGCATAATATGTTGACTAGAATAGTGGAATAGAGCAATACAACTACAGTAGAACAAAAGACAATACATAAATTTCAAACAACATACTTCATTAAAATCGCCCACTCTTGGTATATGATTTTTTCTTGTTATTCCAATAACATTGCCTCTATTGGATATAATAACTAAATTACAGACACGATGGATGACACTTTTCATAATAGTTTAAATGTTATTCAATCCATACCTGCTGTATTCCAAAAAACTTCTCCATGAGTATCATCTCGTTCTAAAATTGGATTAATAATAACCATATTGTATTTTTTCGCACGCTGAAGACATAATGAAGAAAGATAAAAATTTGATTTATGTCGTTTTTAATGTGATACCTCTGCTAGAAATTGAGTTGTAGGTCCATCATAAGCCGATTCCGCAAATTCTACCCAAGGATATTTTTCTCGAGTACAAAAGGCAAATGGTGATGCTAGAAAAAATTTACAACTTATGACTATTTAACAGGTGACATATACACCATAGGAAATACAGAGTTAATATATCTATAAAATCATTAAAGAATACATGTCTTGTAACAGTTAGAAAGAAGTAACCTTTCACCAGTTATTTAACCAGGTTTAATCCATGCTTTACTTAAAATTTTGGGGCAACGTGAAATTCGCCGTCGTACACTTTCGCAGTAGACTTTCGGTAATTGCCGAAAGTCATGCCTTGGACTAAAAAATTCTCTCAACGAAAACTGAACCTTCGGCAAAATGCCGAAGTTTCAACTCCGGTTACGGCGAAAGTTTTATTTGCAGCATGAGAGTTTTATAGTCGATGAAGATGTTATAGGAGGTGCCGAAAGTGTACGACGGCGAAATTCATGGTATCCAAATTTTGATCTTCTTTTACATATTTTACTAAAGATTTTACAAATTATCCAATTCTGTACCTGTACCATGCACACTTACTCCAAGTTTCTTGAAGACAGGCAATATTCACATGGCATTCATGAGCAGCTTGAAGAATTCCGTCAATTCTTTGATGTATCGCATCTCTCTAAGAGTATTAAACACCAATTGACTATGTCTAACAGATAAGTTTGTAGTGTTGACCAACAGTGACGGAAAAAACGCCGTCACAATCCGACCTTATCCTCCCATCACTATTACTAGGGTACATACTTACTTGTTCTTTAACAGGAGCTGTTGTGGGTAAAATAATTGCATTTTGTATTGCGCCTATTCGAACAATTCGCGGCGAACGTAGCTGTTCCTGTTGAGCACTAATTCGATAACCATGAAGTTCAAAATTTTTTTCTTTGGCTATTTTCAATGCATTTTCAGGCATTTGTATTTCACTATAAAAATTTGACAGTCTTGATGACTTATCGCCTAATTAACTATCTGATAATGGAAGAATTACCTTGAATTCGGTCCATATACTAAAGTATGCACTTTTTCAAGTATGTCAACAGGTAAATGTCCTTTTAAAGCACTTTCTAAACTTTCAAACTCAGGATTCGTCATATTTTAGAATTGAAGAAACAATGTATTGATGTTATTCAGGCAATCTATAAACAGAATAAAGCAAGAGAATATATAATAAAAGCAGATCTAATCTTCTTTACACATACAGCCAGGTGTAAATAAATGCACCCCCCTTTTCACCGTGCGAAAAAAGAAAATAACAAACGCAAATGAATATAGATATCGAAATATCACAAAAAATTATAACATTAGAACTACGTGCCATTTGCGCTTTTTATAACTGAAATGGAACAAAAAAAGTACTAACAGATTATATTTTTTTAAAGACTCCTCTCTCATTTTCGGATATCAAAGAATGTTAAGGTGATAATTGTGATTGAAATCCTTTACAATCTCTTCACTGTTTCAGACGAACGAAAGATGGTGGTTATCACCCAATCTAGAATAATACCTTTAACTAGGTACTAGTTGAGTACATGACAGAGATAGACAATGGATGAGGATCTTCTCGAAGCACCATTCCTCATGGGGCGAACCTCGCGAAGAAATTTGTCTGGAAACTTGACGAAGTACGAGGCGATGATAAGGCAAGGTGCTTGCAGACCCAATCCTACTGAGCACTTTTTTTCTGCTTATAAAAAACGGAATTTGACCAGAATTTTTCTGGGTAACACTTGAAAAAATATGCTTATTTTGTGCATGTGACATCTACCGTATGCAGAGCGTTTCCTTAAGCGGAGGTAAATTCTTTAACTTTACACTTTTCTAACAGCCTTTCAAGTATCATAATAAAAGCATACATTATTGAGTTCTACCTGTTCTACTTAACAAAAGAAACACAATAATCAGATTCTTAACAAAAATTGTGTTACAAGGTGATCGTGCATGTATTTGATACGCTTCACATTGGCGAGCTAAGGAACGGATGTGTCTCTTGTTGTAAATAAGCGTTAAATAGCAAAATAAATAAAGCTAATAAAACAATAAAAGATAATAAAACTAAAATATATCAAATTTTCGGTTATAATTTGGTCAAACTTCACAGAACTAAATATTGGTTCCCTGATTACAACATAGATGGAAACTAATCCCCCTGTGAGGGATGGAAATGCCAGGAAAAAGCAACAAAATTGGCAGAGAGGAAGACAACAGCAAAACGCGGGAAGGCAAACAAGAACAACGGCACCGGCGTCTGAACTCAAAAAACAGTACCAAATTGCACCATTAATACTAACTGCTGATGAATTCACAAACAGATTACAACTGAACGAGTTTCTGGTAGCACATTTGCCACAAGTGAAACTCAGCAACATCCAAATAAATAAAATAAAACTTTCACGTTATTCTCACTTGATGGTGCCGGCTTTAATAAAATATTAAACGAATTTTCGGTAAATCAATGTGCAAATCCACAAAACGTTAAAGTATTTCTACCAAAATCGATAGAAAAAACCCAGCAAATTGATAAAGATGCAATAATAAAACACGTAGATATTGAAATTTCGGAGAACGAAATTGCCGCTGAACTAAAACATGCTGGTCTCTCGGTCGTCAGCGTATATCTTTTCAAAATTTCAAGAAATCAGGGCCAAGAACAACAATCAAAGTAACCTTTTTTGATATCAAAGATAAAGAAACATTAATCAAGGTCAGTATGCAGATCGGTAACATGCACTGACCTGCAGAACATTGTCAACAGAAAATCAAGCCGATTCAATGCGCAACGTGTCTAAAATTCGGTCATGTAAGTAAATACTGTAACAACCAGAATCAACCGATATGTGCTAAATGTGGAGAAGCTCATGCAACTAATAATTGTAAGAAACTACAAACAGATAAATTAGTTTGTTACAATTGCACGGGTGAACATATGGCAACGTCAGACACATGTCCTAGATTTAAAGAAAATGCCGCTAAAATTCAACAAAATATTAATAAATACTCGTTACTGCAGTAACAAAATCAACGACCGGGGCCATCATATTGGTCTAATGACTATAACACATTCCCTCCAATAGGAGAAAATCAAAAACCGTTTGGTCGTCGAAATGAATTAGTTGACGAAATGGAAGAAGTTGCTGAGCGTTTGATGGAAAGGATGGAAAAACGCTTCCAGGAGCTTTCCAAACAGCTGAAAAAAGAAATAAAAGCAGCAAAACAAGAAAGTAAAACGCTCTCGCCATTAGCCAAAGCAAGAACAGCAGCCTCAGTTGTACCAAAGCCAAAAGCAGAAGACGAACCCAACCAGTTTTTCGAGGGGTACTTCGAGTGCTCGGAAATGTGCTTTCGATGAGCCTTCGCCGAGAACTCGAGTCCTCAAAAAATGACACTTCGGACTCTCGATAGTCGTCCTCAAACGCAAAGAAAATGAACAACAAAAAATAAAGATACCAGATGTAGAGCCAAAAATGAGAAAACTTAAAATGTATTTGAACAATTTTGAAATGATAGCAATGGTGATGATGTTTCTTTCCAGAGTAACGATAAAGTACAGCGATAAAGTAAAGTATAGCAATAAATAGTAAAGTATAGCAATAAATAGTAAAGTATAGCAATAAATTAAAGTATAGTAATAAAGAGGTAAACGGTAGCAATGGTAATAGTGTTTCTTTCCAGAGTAACGGTAAAGTGGTATCTTTTATTTTCAAAAATAAAGATTAAGGATATAATGCACATCTTTTCTTTCCTAAGAAAAAAGTAAGTGGAATTCTTTTCTTGCTTTTAAGAAAGAAAATGATTTATTTGGCCAGAAATAATGACTCACTTTTGTTCTCTTTTCTTCCGAGCCCAACTGAGGTTCGAAGATCCCATTCTAAACTCATTCGATAGAGAATTTTCTGCTCTACAAAATCCATCACCTTCTTTCATTACATATTATTTAATTATTTTAAAAAATAGTGCAGAGTACTGACAGGTAAAAAGTATACCCGAGATTTTCTATCAAAATTTTGGTGGCTTTTCGTTTTTGTGTAACTTTTCGAGAAATAATGTGGTAATTGAGAGAAGATGATATAAAAATGTTCAGCGGATTGAGCACTATCATCCAGACTACGCTGCTTATTCGTTTTGTCACCCAAATTGTGAAGCTTTCAGTGCACAAGTTAATCTGTACAGTGAAACAACGCAGTGAAAGTGTGCGTTATAGGGTTTTGTAGAACAGAAAATTTTCTATCTGCTGAAGTCAGAACGAGGTCTCGGAACCATACGAGATATAGATAAAAATAAATACATGAATAACCCCATAATTTCAGGATCATTCGTTCTTAGTGGCAAAATCTTAGAAAAAATTTTATTTCTCAATGCGGATTAATTAAACGAAGACGAATTCTTTACACAAAGTATCTGTGATGAATAGTTAACAGAAACGTTATTAAATAATCAATTAGGTCAACTATAAAAATAATTATAATTTGTTCCTTCCGTCACAGCTATACTTTTTACCTGTACTATTTCTAAAATAATGAAATAATATGTAATGAAAGAAGGTGATGGATTTTGTTGAGCAGAAAATTCTCTATCGAATGAGTTATAGAATGGAATCTTCGAACCTCAGTTGGGCTAGGAAGAAAAGAGAACAAAAGCGCGTCATTATTTCTGGCCCACCCGTTATTAACATATTCCCTACCATACAACAACACACATGTTTTATTTTTAAAACCTAAATTGTTTTTTCTAACTTATTTCATGAAACACGAAGAACGAAACAAACAAAAAAAGCCCTCGCCAACCTCTGCTGACGGCCCACTAGTCGACGTTCTTGAAATTATTCTTTAAGGATTCTTATATCTTATAAATTCTTGAAGAATTCTTTTTCTGTGATTTTTCGTTTCAAGATCTTGCAAAGAAAAAAAATCTGATTGATTCTTTCAGGAATCATGTGACTTCAAGAATTTATCAGATTTTTGTTCTTTAAAGACTCTTTTCTTGTATTTTCTTTAAGGAATCTTTTCTTGAAAATCTTTAAACGTTCTTGTAATATTAGATCGCTTTTGCAGGTACGATCATAAATAGAAACTTGTAAAATTTCGAAGGAAAAGTTTCTATCTATGGTCATAAGCAGACTTTTTAATAAGAGAAAGTTAGTATGTGAGTGAATCTTTTCCTTTTATCGATGGTAGTGCCATAAACAAATAAATAGGCATCTAAACAATCTCAATGAATATATTAACTACTAATTAGTAGCCTTGAATGGGTTATTACTCATTTGTAGATGAGATTAATTTTAAGAGTTTTATAACGTTTGATTCTTCAAGATGACAGCTGTCACAGAAGTGTAGCAGAGTTTTGTGAAACTGGCGAAGAGAGACAAGGGCAGAAGAATACAATAGTTCGTCAGCAGATGAATGAGACTCTAAAACAGAAAAAAAGACTAAATTAGATAATGTGATAGAGAATAAAAACGACAGTACCTAAAAGATAAAAATGCGAAATCATGAAAGAATAAATGCACATACTAAGTTCCTCTTTCATACATTGGGTTAATCTTTCAATAAGGTTATTTTCGTCTATCACCAAAGCCTTAACTGTCTACTAATTAGAGTGCATCACTATGGTCAATTGTCTGTCTTCATGAACTAAGTTCTGTGTTCTGCCTGGCACGTGTATAGCTTCTCTATATATAAAGATATACGAAAAATCTTAAAGAATCTTGACAGAATACTCAAGACAAGAATAGTCAGGAAAAAAAGACCTGATTCCTTAAAGAATTTATAAGACAAAAGAATCCTTAAAGAATAATTTCAAGAACGTCGACTAGTGGGTTGAAAGCTTAAATAAAAACATCTTTTCTTTCCTTCTTCTTTTCTGAAAGAAACAATAGACCTGTTGCAAGATGAAGGAGAAGGAGAAAGAGAAGAATATTCAAGCTTGTATACAAGCTTGAATCTTCTTCTCTTTCTCTTTCTCCTTCATCTTGCAACAGGTCTAATACTTCTTTTCTGCTTTTTAGAGAAGAAGAGATATCACATGTCAACTTTCTCTTTTACTTGTGAACAAAAAGATAATCTATAACTTTTCTTTTTTTTGCAAAAAACAAGAGA